GATCAAGACATTACATCTACTGTCTATCATTACTCTAGTTGAAAAGGCATTATCTACTAGAGCATTGACAGTAAAGGGTTTGAATATCATCTTAGATTTAAATTCTCTTCATTATTTCTTTATAAGCTTCTTATTTCACTTCTTTCAGTGTCTTTTGATTGAAGCTACTTTTTTTCTCAAATTCTCATTTATATTCATATCATTATCATCCAGTATCAGCTTGGAGATCACCTTAGCTATCATAGAGATGGCAGAGTGTCTGAGAGGTTTGAACAGACAGCTCTTAATCATATGATCTCCAGCTCTGTATCTCAGACACAGGCCTTGCTCTCTTTATTGATTAATCTCTGTCTGATTTATCAATTTGACATGATGAGTGCTTGGGGTCACAGCATCAGAAGAGAGATTCATCAGATCATCAGTGGAAGCTTGAGACTAGTTTCATCAATCAAGAACAGCATAACAAAGTAGAGAGTGTGAATTAGATGTTGTATGATCTGAAGAAGATCTGCTCTCATGATGTTTAGACTACTGTCTTAAAGTCTTAAGCTCAGAGAGTTGATAATCAACTAATCTAAGCTTCTTACAGTAATTCTTGTAGAGAGATAGTTCTCTTATACCCACTATGCCTTCTCTTAGCTCCATGCTTAGAGTGGATTTCAAATATCTTTTTTTAACATAATCATTTCATTTGTGATCACCAGCTTCCAGCAGTAGCTGATTAAATTCTGGCAGAAAGTCAAAGAGAGCTCTTCTACTTTGTCATAGATTGTTGAGCTTTTGCATAGTCTTTTTCTATTGTGCAGAATCACTAAAGAGCATGCATGTCTGCTTCAGTAAGCTCTCTACTGTGAAGTTGATCTTGTTCTTATTATTCTCAACCCAGGGGTAAACTCAAGCTACTGCCATTTCTTTCAGTCTGGAGTACACATATCAAGCATATTTCTCATTATTACCTAAAGCTTTTTCATCAATCTTAAGTTTTGATTGAAGCTTTAACTCCCACTGAGGATAGTGCTTCAGATTAGAATCACCATACTTCTTGCAATCTGATAGCTTGATCTTTGATCTTCTGACTGCAATAAGTGATTGCAGGTTCAATTGAGAAAGAGTTGATGTCAGAGTGTTCAAAGCTTGTCATAGATTAGCTATTTCAGCTTGCTGAGCTGCTATTAAATCTCTGTTCTCACACTGAACCTGTTTCTGCTGTTGAAGAAAGGCTATTCATTGTTGTTCAAAGCTGCTGAGGGCATCCCTGCTCATTGCTTCATATTGATTCATTTGTGTATTTATTGTACAAGTCTGTCACTTTATCTCATTCAGCTAGACATTTTCAATATTGCTCATTCATTTGTTAGCATGATTGCTAACCCAGTCTATTCATATATCAGTGCTATCAATGAACTTCATGATGTAGAATTTAAGACTCTCAATAGTCTATCATATGTCAGCATATTTACTGAGCTTCATAATACAGAATTAAGACTCTCAGTAGTCTATCAATAAAAGAAGTGAAGCAATTCATAATATAAAGAGTTAAGCTCTAAGAACTAGAGGCTAGTCCTCCTATATAACAAGAACAAATTGCTTGAGAAAGGGAAGAAAAGAATGAGACAAGAACTCAAGCTTAAGTGAGCTCGCATAGCATGATCATATGCACATGTGCAAATGATAGCTAGGCTGAGTCAGCCAGTCAGAGTGAATCTAGAGATTCAATCTTTTATAGCTGCTTGATGAAAAGAATTGTTCTCTCATAGCTGAACACATTGAAGATTTCAAAAATTCAATGCTCAGATATCAGCATATAGATTTTATTACCTCTTCTTCAAAAGTCAGCAAGATGTAAACTTATAGATTCATTGAGTGTTTATCTGAGTATAAAAAAGTGAAACAGAAGTCAATAAATTCAAAGAGAATGACAGTTAAAGATATTGAATATATCAATACATGATTTGAACATTTTCAGATTCTATTTGAGCAGTATCAATTTCATGTCTGTGACATATACAACTTCAATGAGATTGAATTTCAAGGAGAACAAGAATGTGAAGAATAAGTTATAACTGTTTTTAAAGAAGCTAATTTCATCATTTCTTCATTCTTTTCAAGAGGTTTAATTACAGTTATTAAATGTGTATTCATAGATAATTATGTCATTCTGTCATTGATAATCTTGATCTTCAAAACATACTTAAATAATTAATATACACAGACAGATTTACTTAACAATTATAGAATTACTATATCAAATACTGAATTTACAAATGATGAGATTGAATTTGAATGACTCAAATATTTCAATACTGCTACAGAAAAGAGACAGAAAAGAAGTCATCAATTGCTTTTAATAAATAATCATGAATCTCATATCACTGTGAACTTCATATAATATATAAATCTTCATAAGATAATTCTATATGAATTTTCATTGCATGTTACTTATTTGCTACAATCTTTGAATAGTCTATCATTTCAGCAATATAAGCATTATCATTTAAAAGTAGTCAACTATGCTGCACATCATGATTTTATTAAGTATGAAAAATAGCAGTCCTGTAAAATCTCTTAGCTATGCAAAAGTAGATTTTTAAATCTAATACAATAGCTGTAGAATGAGCTCAATGTGGCATATATTCATGAAATTTCAACTAAGTTCTTGATACTTTTAAGCAGTAAATCTCATCATCTTCTTTACTGTAAATTTATAAAGATAAAAATGATTCAGATTATATATCTATCTTTTCTTCTCAGCTATTCTTATCAAAAACAATTCAAAAGCTAAAATATCATATTAATATTGCAGAAAACACCATACAAAGTATTAGAGATACTTTTGATTTGAAATCACTCATCTTGACATGTCATTTGAACAAGATATTCAAAGTAAGTCTAATTCATATAGAACTTAATAAGTAATAGATTACTGAATTAAAGAACTTTCTCAACATCAGTAAATGCCACAGCTAAAACAATCTGTCACCAGGTTCAAGCAGGAGAAGTCCTGACTATTAAAGATGCCAATAGAAAAATTAAGTGGTGTAAGAATAATGAAGCTGAAAAAGAGTAGAATAAAAAGTAATAAAAGCTTGAAGTTGATCCTATAAAAATTGACAATAACTCACTCATATCACTGACAAAAGAGGAATTAAATTGATTTAGAGATGGCACACATACTGAGAATGATGTAGATAATCTTTTTATTATAGATTAGCTACTGGTTGTTGATATAGAGTGCAATAATGAAGATGTGATTCAAGATTTTTATCATTTCAGTGTTTTTATCATTTTGGTGTGGCGCACCCACACAAGGTGTTGGGTTGCGCAGCGGCACGATTAGTAACTAAACCAACTAAATGATAACGTAATCCAACCCCCAAGCAAATCCCCTAACTAACTAGTTTAACTGCAGAGTATGGAGTAGTTCATAGTTTAAACTCTACTGAGTGAAAAGATTGAAAATAAAAACAAACCCCAGAATTGTCTCCAAAACACACCCAACGCGCAACTCTGTGTTAGTGTGGGCAGCGCACTGCAGCGGTGTCTCTGCAGATGATGTTGAGAAGTTGTCTATATATAACTATATATTTACGTGTCACGACGTTATCAGAACCAAATAGCTAGAGATTCCTCCAAACTCACGGATGATCCCGTTGACCAGTGGACCAATTGACCAACGGGTAAGTTAACTAGACGAGAACAATTAGATAATTCTAGAAGCAGTCAGTTCCCAGCCAACCAATCAATAAAGCAATCAAGCAATCAGGGCATCCGGAGAATGCCCTTGGATGCCTGCACCTCGGTGGTTATTCCTGCGAAGTCATACATCATCAAGTCATCATGCTACCTACTGTATCCACTAACTAGGTAAAGTTAGTTAGTTATTGTTTACCCGCAATTCTAAATCATTAAGAAGGAGAGTACTTTAAATTTTTTAGTAGAAGGATAACAAGAGGGAGGAGGGAGTATTTAGTTATATAGAATAATAGTCACCCCAACGGATGCACACTGCCCTGGGCGTCCAAAGGGATGAGACTTCAAAAAAGTTGAAAAACAAATACAGGAAATTTAGTCACCCTCTTTGTATTTCAAGATCCAACCCGCCCATTGCATTCTCTTGTAGTTTTACGGAGTAGTTAGTTACATGATAACCCCATTGACTTTGTTGCCTGCTTCGGCTTCCAAGTTAAATCCCGCCTTCCCCCCCGACACTTGTCCCGGCAAAGCCATCCAGTCGTCAAACAAAGTGACTGACAAGATCCAACTCTGCCACCGAAGTCTACGTGAGCAGGATAAGTTACTGTTATTAACCAACCAACCAAATATATAGTTACGCGAATGGACGGAGTAGTTAATCAGTAATCGTCAACCTTCGAAGCACCCGCACTCATCCTCTGTCAACCGTCGCCCGAATAGCTTTTCCAACCAAAGCCCGGCTCCCTCTTTCGCAACCATCTTCAAACCACCATCGCTAGCTCACAGCCGGCAGTCTCCCGCTACATTCCTCCCCACCCATCACCACCCCCCATCATTTCATCCTTCGGCAGACTACGGGGAAGCCCAGACGAGAAAAGCAGGCAGACCAAAATTCTCTCATAAATCCTCTTCTCTCCCCTCTCTTACTCATATCCGTTCTCCGGACACTTTCATCGACTACGATTTTTTGCCCTTCGACCACTTATACATTCATACATTCATGTCCTAACAAATATATAATATCCAATATCTGCCAAATTCCCCCTT